TTGTCACTATGGGTATATAGGTAGGGTAAATGCGGTATATTCCAACATCGTGGGTAATTCCGTCACCTCTCTAGTTTTTCCTTTATATCAAGCTTTGTTTTAGTTCCATGCGTTCCTTGATGGTTGAAATGGTGATGTCAAAAAGTTAGCGGTTAGCGGCAAATTCCGCTACATTTTTTGGTGATTTATCGGATTAGTGGTTATTGAAGCTAACTTTTCAGTTAGCGGATTAGCGGTTATCGAAGCTAACTTATAGGTTAGCTGTGCCCACCACTGTACATTTGCGCGTCAAACTAATGCCAAAACACTAGGTCTTGGCCATCTAGCGGGAAAATATTGAGATCCAAAGAGAGACAATGCAAGCTACCCAGTGAGATCATCGAAAAATGTGTCAAATTTGACAGTTGACCTTGCTCTACCAAATAGTGAATAACTGTTTGTATAGGAAGAATATTATGGTTGAGACTTTTAAATACGTCTCTGAATATATTAGGAATCCTTTAAGTATACTTGTATTCGCTGATTTCAAGTGGTAAATAAATTAATAGATGATTAAGTTGAGAAATGGATTTGAACACATGAAAACTAATTCCGTCACAACTTGAATTCAACACACACAGATCGTTCCAAGCTATGCACAAAAATTAAAATTTGCTTAATTAAAAGCTTAATAGTTGTTAATTAAAAGCATAATTAAGTAGTGTTCAATATTCATTAGTGTTCTAATTCAAAGCTGTGTTGTATTCCAATACAGCTCACACAGCGAATGGAATTCGAACACGTGGATGACAGCATTACGTATCAGTAGAATTCGAAGCATGGACAGAATACGCCTCACCACGTGCCGAATATTGCCACACACAGTGTTGGAATATAGGGATTTGGTAGGTTTGCATTCTAAAGGCTTTTAAATAAATATGGCAACATTTTGTGACGTTTCATTGTTGCTGGCGCGTAGTACGGTGTTTTGCAAGTCACACAAAGCAAACAGAACTCGAGTAATGCATACGGTTATTTTTTTATAGTTTTTCATTGGATTTGGATTTGGGGCGTGGTGACTCTGAGAGAAAGAATTTCAGGGTCAGGCCTTTGCAAGGGCCATCAGCCACGCATCACATTTTCATTTGTTAGTAAGAAGGAGGAAGGGAGACCAAGCCAGGTGGAAGCAACATTAAAGAGAAGAGGCTAGAAGAGTTGTGAAAGTTTGTGTTAAGGTTGAGAAGTAATCAAGGGGAAGAGAAGTTCAAGGGGAAATTCATTGGTTTATTATTGCTATTTGTCAATTATTGCACTGTGTATTTGATAATTATATTAGCTATGGCGCCTTGTAGGCCCTGAGTGACTATTTCCGATATTATTATGGTTTGGTTATTTCAATTTTATTATTATTATTGCTTTTTTCTTACACCCTCCCAGCCTCCACTCTAGCCAACCTCCTCCTCTCCCTCACCTCATTTCTCGATGTGTCCTTAATGTGTCGGAATATACCGCGTTTACCCTACCCTAATTCATCTAATGGAAGTCTTGTGGCTCAAAAAATGGCAGGAAAGGCTTAGTCGTGGCTCAAAATGGTAGATATATTTTATGCCAGTGTGTGATAAAGCACAAGCCACATGACATAACCAAATTAGTTAATCATATCTCATTTTAATCAAATTTCAACTTGGCCATATATATAATAGCAAGAGTAAAAAAAACTGGAATGGATTCAGGTTGAAAACTTCCAACTTGAAACTTGAAACATGCAGTTACAAAGTTACATATTTTCCAAATACTTGTATAAGGGTTCAAATGAAATCTGTAACTTTTTTAATTTCTTATTTTTCTGCTCTTGCTGGTGTTGAAAGCATATTCCTGTTAACAAAAAATGTTACAGTATTGTAAATAAATACATGCTGCAAATCATTAAGCATTAATGATTGAAAATCATCAATGAGAAACGATTGAAATCTAATAATATTTAATAATAATAAAAACCAAAATACTTGAAAGAATTAATGTGACCTTATTATTGCTGTTTAGTTAGTTTACACTTTCTATAATACAATTGAAATATATAATATAATTTAATTTGGCAGGAGCGGCTCACTTTCTGTGTGCCTACAGCCAGCAAAGCGGACGCTAAACTTATACTCTCCACTTTTGATATGCTGCTGCTGTATAATCACGTACAGGGGGGTTTGAGGTCAAAGTTTTCACTCAAGCCATTTTTCCCAGGAGCTCAACCGTTAGAATCTCATGAAAATTGGCACAGACACGTACGCATATTTTTTCTACCAAACCTTCTTGTCAGGTTTCCAAAATTCCCACTCCTTCCCCCCCCCCCCCCAAAATCCCCAAAAAAGGGGAAAATTTCGTCAAAAAATTACCTAAAATGAGATTGCGGAAAGGATCATAGCTCGAAAAGTTGCAAACTCAGAGCAATGCAATTCATTTCAAACGAAAGGTAAAGGATTGGAGTGTGTTTGGGATTTCGAACAATTTTTTGTCGGGTCAAAACTTCATCCCTAAATAGGGGGTCAAGTTTGACCCTGAAAAAATTGTTTTCGGCCATTTTTCGGTGGTTTTTCAACTCTCGCGGCCAAACCGTAAACATTTTTGCCATAGTAAAAATGGGAAAAAGATGCGTCTTGTTGAGACAAACACACTGGTGAAAACGGATTTTGAAAAAGTTTGAAAAAAAGTTTGAAAAAGTTGTGAGCAAAACTTTGATCAACTTTGATCAACTTTTTCACTTTTCTCTTCACAACTCTACGGAAAAATTTTTGTGTATTTTTTCAACAACCCTAACAATAAAGAACAAGTCTTTGCCTTTAATTTGGACCCTGTTTCATGATCCTAGCTTTTATAGATATCGAGATATGATTTCGTCAAAGTAGACAATAATTGACAAAATTTTCGTCCAACTCGCCGTGGTCCGGGCGCTGCTCTGAACGTGTTCTACGAGTTTACTTTTTAGACTATTGTGCAAGCTGCATAATTTTATGAAGCTTTCTGAAAGTTAGTATCGACAGAGGATAAAATTGCGCTAATTACTGCCTATTTAACTCATTTTCAAAAAAATTATTTCTATTAGAAATTTAACGATCAAAAATAAACCAAGATTTGGTTCTGCTCACTTATAAAATACTTCATTAGGCACTTATTTTTTTAAGTTAGACACTCCATTTGTATATGGTTATTTACTTAAGCTCTTTAGCATTAATATTGTGAAAAAACTTCTCATATTTACCGTTAAAAATTGTTTTAATGAAGCAATAAGATTGCTCCCTGCCATGTATCTGCAGTCCTTGGGCCCAAACGTGAAGGCGTTATAACTCTTTATAGACCAAGATTGAAGAAAATTCACGCAAATAATCATTAGAAGAAAACTAAAATACTCTCTGGGGGGTCCGGGGGGTCTGCCGGGCCCCTTTTTTTGCAAATATTTGTAAGATAAAAGAGTTCCATGACAATTCCTCCTTACTTCTGAAGCTTCACCGGTTCTACATTTCGACAGTCCACCTCAAACGACGCTCCGTTTTCTTCGTGACAATGAATTGGATCATGGATAACTATACTAATTCAACCGTGTTGCTAAGTCAAAAGTTGTTTACAAATTATATACAATTTCTTTAAATAATGTTCAATCATAAAATGTCCATTAATACTTTTCTGAATCTAAATTGAAGTTTATACTTTATTAATAAATTTATATATTTATACTAAATTGAAGTCCACCACTGCGTCCAATACAGATTTTTTGTAGGGGGATTATTCTTAACTGCGATTTTTTACTTTTTCAAGGTCTTTTAACTCGGTAACGTACAGCATTGAAGGAAATTCAAACAAATTATAAATAAAATAAAACAAAAATTCCCTTTTTATGGCCCCGAGTGTTGAGCTTAGGGCCCTGGCGTTCCCTCGATTTCTGCCATCAAACAAGATTTCAAGTAGAATTTCGCTCAAGCCGTATTGCGAGGTATGATGACCATCAGTGTCCTGGAGTAGGCAGCGCTTGCAAATGCAACTAGTAAGTTGAGAAACTGGTACCACAAGAAGCTTTGAAGCTGTTTTTTTTTTTTGCAACAAACGACTAAGTACTTGAACTTTTTGCACTGTTACTTTGATAGAGGAAAACCGACACCCAGGTTATTGATGTTTGGAGTATTAAGGCCGGAGTTCACATTTCCAACACGTTCAGTGAGTGTTGGAAATGCACACTCTGGCCACAATCATGCACGGAATTGAAATAGAATTAATAGGAAATTAAACATGTCGTAAAATATACGTCATTTGCTGAGGTTAGGTTCAAGCCAGGAACAAGTTCCTATGGCAACAATCACATAGGGTGGTTAGGTTAGGGTTGATTAGGGTAAGGCAAAGTTAGTTCAGGTTAGGTTAGGAAAGGTTAGGATAGGTTAAGTTAGGTTAGTTCTTGTTGGGTTATGTAAGGTTAGGCAAGGTAAGGTTAGGTGAAGTAGGGTTAGGTGAGGTAGAATTAGGTTAGGATAGGTTAGGTTAGGATATGTTAGGCTTTGTTCAGTTTGGTTAGGTTAGGTTAGGGTTTCTTGGCTAGGTAAAACTAATGTAAGATTGTTTTAAACACTAATGATACACACAGGAAAAGGCCACAATTGGGGGATTGCTGTGTGTCGTAAGAAATGTGTGGCAAGAAGAAGAAGAAGAGAGAAAAAGAAAAAAAGTAAAAAAAAAGTTTAGCGGCTGATCTGGATAATATAATTTAAATCCTCTCTCATTCAAATTTGGAATAAATTCATATAGTTGAAGTTCAATAGTCATGTAAGTAAATGAAAAATAATTACTGTGCATGACCAGTATTAGTGTGCATGAAGGTGTTGTTCTGTTTAAAATTCTGCATTTTGATCAAATTGTTAGCAAGATGGGTGTACATACGGTATATACCTAGGCGTTTGTAGTTGGTATTTTGCTATCAATTTAGATATTTGAGACATTGTAAATTAATGGCAAATGTTTCTCAATTTCAATTCCATAAACAGAAAAAGTGTTTTACAGAAGTCCATATATGGTATAATTATATATTGAGATCTTAGCTTCTAGGTTTCAACCCAGCTTTTGTATTTAGCTTCATTATATGCAAGCTGCCTCAGACCTAGAAATATGTCTTCCACTACTGCCTCTGCCTCCTCTGTTTCAAGCACGTCAGACAAGCAGGCTTCATCTGGGTGAGCATATTATTTATGTAAATATATTTTGATTGAAAAGAATACATGCAGTAAATTTACCATATTATTTTGTCCTATTCTAGTACAAAAAATCCATTGATTTGTTTTTTGATGCAGTGCTTTGGCCATTAATTGATTTATATATGACAGAAATTTAAAATTTATAGATAAATCTTTCATCATGTAGGAATCTTTCATGGCCCTGATTTAAAATAAAACAATTTACATTAGTAGCAACCATTGTATAATACACCCATTCTATATATTGTATAATACCCAATAATATAATATAATATATTATTGGGTATTAATATATTATTATATATTAAATATATATAATATATCATTGTATAATACCCATTCTTGTTCAGGGTGTCAAACAACAACTGGAGCATTGACAACTTTGAGATAGGCCGCCCATTGGGGAAGGGCAAATTTGGTAACGTATATCTTGCCAGAGAAAAGAAGAGCAAGTATATTGTAGCTCTTAAGGTGAGTGTGGAAATATTCTGATAATAATAATCACCTCTTCCTTGAAATATTTGCCTTGAATAAAATTCATTTTCACCAAGTATAAAAGGATTCATCTCTAGCATACCGGTAATCCATTTATAACTAATTTAGATTGAATCAAACTTCTAACTTTTGATAGATAATTCAACCCCATACTTATCAGCACACAAGAGTGTGCCTGAAAATGTTTACACAACTTGAATGTGTTTGCCACTTAGAAGTTTTACTCTTGTCACTTAATAATTTTGATTTGTGTGCAGGTTCTTTTTAAATCACAGCTGCAGAAGGCAAGTGTAGAACATCAACTCCGAAGAGAAATCGAGATTCAAGTGAGTCAATTTTACAATTTTTGCTCACAATTCACAGCAAATATTGTATGAATATTTACTCCTATATTTTTGACATTTTTTCAGACACTGCAGCTTCTGTAGTCCTTTAGAGAGTCATTCCTTGATTTCCAATAGTGCATTGAGCTGAAATACTCTATTGTATTGTATCAATAAATAGACAAAGAGAAAATCGGAGATAATTTAAATTTCTTTGCAGTTATCTTATTTATTTTATTACTATTTGTTCTGGAAATAAGTACAAGAATTTTTTATGTTTCATCTGTGATAAATTCACCCCTCAGATCATTGTTCTTAATAATTTTTTCTATAGTTACTACTTTAAGTCTCACATTTGTTCTTTGAGCTTTCTGTATAAATCACAAGTCTATGTATTTAAGTTCTATTTTCTTCAATTATATGGTTGCTGGACCTAATTAATTTCTTTTACAGGCCCATTTACGCCATCAGCACATTTTACGGCTCTATGGATATTTTTATGATGAGACTCGCGTTTACCTCATCCTGGAGTTTGCACCAAAAGGCGAGCTCTACAAATACATGCAAAAGCAGCCTAATGGTCGCTTCAGTGAGATGGAGAGCGCTAAATACATCAGACAAATGTCCGAGGCACTCAAGTAAGGGTGGCTGCTGTGGCGTGGCTGCTGTTGTGGGGTTGTGTGGATGCTGTTGTGTGTGGATGCTGTTGTGTGTGGATGCTGCTGTGTGTGGATGCTGTTTTGTGTGGATGCTGTTGTGTGTTGATGCTGTTGTGTGTGGATGCTGTTGTGTAAATGCTGTTGTGTGTAAATGCTGTTGTGTGTAAATGCTGTTGTGTGTAAATGCTGTTGTGTGTAAATGCTGTTGTGTGTAAATGCTGTTGTGTGTAAATGCTGTTGTGTGGATGCTGTTGCGTGTAAATGCTGTTGTGTGGATGCTGTTGCATGGATATTTAAATGCCTCTCATTTAAATTTTCAACTAAATCTCATTACCAAACTTTGCTGAGAAAAATGAGTGGGTCGTATTTTCCAAATAATCACAGACTTTATGAACAGAGTACTGATACATCAACTTTCTGAGCCAAACAGTGTCAGGATAACCCACACAATGGTAGAAAGTGCATTACTATTTGAACCAAGTCTCGCTCGTTGCTTTGAGTGTTGGATCTAATAAACAGTTCATCCCTTGCCCACATTTCATTTGAGTTTAAAAATGTTCAAGTCTTACTACTTATGAAACATTATGAAGTTGGAATTAATTCTTCCTTTACTAATGAGTTAGAAATTTACAGCCAAATGAATTCAATTCATTTTTAAAATCAAAATGCTTATCGGCTTCCATGATCTTGGGTAGCTTGAACGATGTTATCATGGCTATGTGAGTAATGGTGTCCTTCATTCCTGATGTTTGAATTCCATTTTTGACTTGGGGACTGCTATTTCAATTTTGTAATCACAGATTTGCCGATAGGTAATTCAAATTATGAGTTATGTCATTCTTGCAGGTATTGCCACAGTAAGAAGGTTATCCACCGAGACATCAAACCAGAGAATATTTTATTGAACCTTAAAGGTGACCTTAAAATCGCTGATTTTGGATGGTCGGTCCACGCACCTTCCTCCCGGTGAGTTGCCGTCCTATCATTTTCCATTTTTTATTATTTGATGGTATTTCTATTCAATAAGTTCCTTTACTTTTACTTCAAATAGTAAGGTTATTTTTAAATTTTCTCCATATACCGGTATCGTTTTCTCTAATTAGACGCCAAGACTTTCCCCAATCTACTTTTGATCTATTTACCGAGAATAATTCATTTAAAGTGATAGTTACTACCACACCTCAAGCACGTTCGCCGAACGGAGTACACTCCGTCTTTCCCTGTATTTTCCTTTTTCTTCCTATGGATTTCTAAATCATCTAGATTATAGATACCCAAAATTAATTTGAAATCTAAATGGATTTTTATTTGACAAATAATCCACTACATTTCAGTTAAAAATATGGTCACAGGAGTATTACCTATATCTTGGTGCACCTAATTCGTGTATCCAATGTAAATACGTCAAAACCTCTAGTCAAGGAGATTTTAAGCTTAATTTATTATTTTATTGTCTTAATTAAAAGGCGGTCCACTCTATGTGGCACGCTCGACTACCTGCCCCCTGAGATGGTCGAGAATAAACCTCACGACGAGAAGGTCGACCTGTGGTCCCTGGGCGTCTTGTGTTACGAGTTTCTCTGTGGCTCTCCTCCGTTCGAGACCGAGAGCAGCAGCGCCACGTACAAGCGCATTACACGCGTGCAGTTCAGCTTCCCTCCACACGTCTCGCCTAAAGCCAGAGATCTCATCCTCAAGGTAAGAATTCATATAAAATCCGGCCTCATTTCTCTTGACGAAAACAAGACTGAAAACAATAATTACGTCTCCTTTCTGAATTACAAGTTATCATTTTGACATCGATGCCCAGACTATTACAACTTGATATGTTGCAATAGTCTGGACTATTACAACATGAGCAATCATCCGTGCGAGACGAGGTTATTTTTTTAGCAAAATGAATTGAAGATGTTGAAATTTTAAACTTTCGTTTTATTCATTAACTGTAGTCGGTGCCTCGGCAATTGTTAGCGAATAAATTGGTGCTAGTGCATCACCATCGGATGTATGTGGAGCACAGGCGATTGTTCCGAAATATTTCTCTGAATAAAAAGTTAAAATCTCAGAACATCCGGTTTCTTATCAACGATGTTATGCAACAGTTTGTTTTAAGATGAATATAATCCATTGGTTTAAGATAAGTAGAGGCATCTGAATGAAGCTTCTCAGTGCCGTGTAATATTTTGTTGCTAAGTAATACTACTGGGCAGCTTCTGAAGTATCATCCTCACGAGCGGCTGCCCCTGGACGAGGTTCTCAAGCATCCTTGGATAGTCGAGCAGGCCGCTCTCGAGAAGGCAGGACTTGAGAAGGCCGAAGCTGGCAATTAAATGCGCTACTTATTTATCCTGGTCTCTTAATTTTAGTTCAACAAGGGCGTTTGGGATGATTACCGCTCAAATTACGGACATGCTTCTTGATTGAATGTGTTATGATTTGCTAAGTGTTTATTTTAAGCAGGTATTCCTCATAATTTGTATCTTTTAATTGGAATATACGAAGCCAACTTGATGTATTCCCCAAGCAAGCTGAACGGGCGCAAATTTTCTTGCTCTTACTAAATAATGATCCTTTTATATATTCGAAGTAAATTTCAGAACTCCTGCTTGTTCACAAAATGTTGTGCACATTTCTGGTGAAAAATTAAATATAATATTACTAGCTTATTTTAACACTACTCCATGAGATTAAATTTTGCCGTTGAATGTCTTCAAACCTGAAATATGTTCCTATGCTATTGAATTCCATAGCTTAATGTTGAACTCTAGTTGATCAACACCAGTCATTCATTGGATGTATTCTATATAAATCCAGTGATGTGTTTATACAGGTGTCCATAGTTCATGCGTGATCAAGCACGTGGTAGCAAAATTAATCTTAAGATCATGTGAAGGGAAATGTTTTATTAATGGGTTCTAATTTTTAATTAAGTTGAGACAAGCGCTGTAGAAACTTGTCCGAATTAGGTTGTGGTGTCGTTTAAGCAGGTGCATTACAAACGTGAGTCGCTACTTTAAATAATTGCTGTAGATTGTAACGTTACTGTAAGTAAATGTGCCGCGTGTTTAACAAGACGGTTCCTTCACTGCCAAGCTTCTGGACTACAATATTTGTTACAATAAACTCTAAACTTGAAGCTTCTTAGTTCGGTTTCCCGCTTAATATTGCAAGAGGTTTTCATATGCTATCGAAATTATCCTGATAACAGAAAAATTAATTTGAGTAATGGCATGGGTGTGCGATGAACTTCTGAAGGTCATGATCCGGTTTTGAGAAAAAAATGCGAGTCAAGTCGGTTTGAAATTTACATGGCATGGAATTCTACTTACAGCATTATAAATATCAGTTGAAATTTATCGACGTTTACGTACATCTTCTACCTCAAGAGGTAGACGAGGACATATCAGTTCACGTTGTTAGCATACACAATTCGGGCAAGCGGGAAAATTGCAACAATGTCTGACTGCAGCTCGTCTATGGCCCTACAGATGATGGTTATCCTAAAAGGGATGGAACAGTCGGTAAGTTAACCGAAACTGTAATTAAATAAAACTTTCCAGGTGCAAGGATGCGCTTTTCATTGTTTAGCAACATAATTGTAATACAATTCCACACAAATGATTTTGGCGCTAACTTTAACAAAATGGTTGCAAATTTTGTTGGCAGCTACACTTCAAAGAACCAAGATCGAGCTGAAAAAATAGCTACGAAGCTAAGCTTCAACCTTTAATAATAAATATACACCATAAAAAAGACGCTTTACACACAGGTTGGATTGGAAAATTCTATCAACTAAGAGAATAAGCATCACCACCACTACGCTCATGTGAATGCTTAGCAATCAATTCGCTTTTTACTAATAGTTATTCATAAGAGCATGTAGAAATTTTGTTCACAAGAAATGGCGTCACCAACTGCAAATCCGAAACAGTGCCGCCGTGTTCGAATGATCAGTTGAGAGAACCGTAAACTTCGTACCCCTGTAGATTGTTCAATCATTCAATGATCCAAGCTGAAAGGAAAGTATCACTGGCCAGGACTTTCAAACAGGCATTGAAGTTAGTGAGGCATGAAGGTTCAGACAGTCTATTGTGAGCAAGAAATTCAACCTAATCCAGCTAGACTTTCAAATTGAGTTTCTAAATTTGAGCTTTCGTGATTACCATCAGACTCTGTGTCATTACCTCTGTGTCATGCTGACCTTATCTTCACTTCAGTGTACATAAAAAGGATTATGTGGCGAGCGTTCAAGTAGAGGGAATGTACTCAAAACGTCAACAACATATAAGGTATCGAACTGGAAGGGCGAAGAGGCTACAGAACTGGTAATTAGACTCGACGGGAGATGCAATTACAAATTTAAGTACAGTAATCAAACTGGTAAAGATCGCACAAGAAAAAGCACTGAAAACAAAATAATCAAATTGATAGACATAATTTCGTCTTTAGTTAGACAGGATGACTAAAATGAAATTCTTGACATAGTCCAACAATTAGAACACTGAGAGATATTTTTGGGCACCTTTCTGGAAGCTAAACGGAGCATCGATCATTGGAACCGTCATGAACTCGAGGAACTTTAATGTAGCTTACGTGTAATCATTCACACATTACAGGAATAGAAATACTGACCCCATATTAAAGAACATAAATATCTTGGAAATATGAGACCACATTGGAGTCATGTAGAAATGCATGAGAATGTCAGGAACATTAAGAGCATTAATATATAGCCGCCTATCTATCAGGAAACGTCGTTCGTATGCGTCTTGTTCAACAATGTTTGCCAAGAATAGCTGAGTTTGGCCTAAGGTGTGCAGCGACCAACGAAGCGAGGGTAGAGACACGCGTCTCTAATGTGATGCGTGTTGGAGAGCCAGCACAAGAAGCGCTCCAGACCCAGACCATAGCCACCGTGAGGACAAGTGCCGTACACACGCTGCTCAGGACAAATTGTATCACTGTCAAAAGGGAACAAGGCATTGCAGCCATAGCCTGCGTACATTATATGCAACGATATACAACAGTCATGACAAGTAGTCATCTCCATTCTGCTTTTTTAAAAGTATTTTCAGCAAAAAAATGGCCGATATTTCCATCTCAATGCTCACTCAGAAGGAGCAATACTAACTATATTAATACTAAGTATAATGTGGACGGTACAAACACATCACTGATATCAAACTGACCTGGTCCGTATACCAGTAGTAAGGCTTGGGGTCGAGTCCTTTCTTCTTGTATGCAGCCATGAGTTCATCCAAGTTGTCCATACGCATCGAACCTCCTACGATCTCACCCACGCTTGGCATCAACAAATCAACCTGTAGAAAAGAAAAGGCGTAAAAACATCAACAACTTGAAAAAAACATAAGAAACGCAAGTAAGCAGACCTGGTTTGACAAGTCTCCAAATAAATCTTCAAGATTTCGTTTCAAATGCGAACCAAAACATAAATTTCATTTGCTTCCTACTATCCATATCGATGAAGAAATTTACGAAAGTCAATTACACTTGCCTAATACAGGTTACTAGCGTTGAAGTATTTTGAAATTGATATTAAGTTATAACGCAATACAAAGAAGCAATATATGACGGTAATACAACCTATACACAAACCTAAAGTGCTGAATAAACTTTTATGGGGAAGAATTTTGCAAGAAGAAAGAGTGCAAGAGGCCTTACCGACTCAGTGAGCGTGGGGTCGTCTTTCCTGCGCTGCATGTAAAAGGCCTTGATGTCTGCAGGGAAGCTGTGCAGGAGGATGGGCTTGCCGATTGCGTCCGTCATTTTTCGTTCAGGCATTTCTGGGATATCCTGTATGCAAGCTAATTTTTAGCATCAGGGAAATGAAATTAAAGAGCAGTAAATGGGCTAGATAACAATGTTGGAATGAATTAAAAAGCTAATATTATATTACCTTGTTTTACATTTCTCGACAATAATGGTTATGAATCAAAGAGGTAATTGAAAATTGCTTTAAAGTTAAAAATTGCAAACAAACCTCTCCGAAGACGTATAAGGAGCCATCTTCCTTCCTGATGTCGTGCTCCTCAAGATATTTAATGGCGTCTGCATAGGCCATCCGCAGGAACGGACGCGTGGGCGCCACGAAGTCCGGGTTCAGGTCCCTCACGATCTGTGCACCGCGGAGGTCAGCGAGCACGCGCTCGGTCACGTCGCAAACCTGAGGTACAAGCATGGTAAAATTCAGTACAAATAATGGCCGTTAGTTGCACAAAAGCCGCACCAATTATTTGTTGTTAAATTGAGCTTGACATGTAATCATGTAGATTTCCATTACTGTGATCATCATAATTGATTGCATTTTACTAGTTGTTCTCGAGATAAAGACTTTAAAATTTAAATATGATTTTAGAATGGTAAATTTAAGTAATTATGAGAGAGCATAATGAATACAGATGAACTCTACTGTCGCACATCACAGGCAGTTTATACAGTATGATCGAGATCATTATAACATTTATATTCTAACAAGTCGAAAGAAATGTATTAATTCATCTGCTGTAACCACGACTTAATGAGAACTCACCAGGTCCTCAATCTTGTCGAGCAGCTCCTCGAAGGTGATGAAGGGACACTCGGCCTCGACGTGTGTGTAGGTGGCAAGATGGCGGCGGGTGCGGGACTGCTCGGCACGATAGCTCTGCTCTATGCAGTACACGTCCCCGAAACTGAACAATAATTACCAATATCTTAAAGCAGCGGATTGAAGAAGAATCATTCCCTGACATACTCAATAAAAAATGGTAAAAAATATTCCTTCAGAGAAAAAAAACAGTAGCGGTTATAGTGGAATGAAGGGAGAGAGCTTTATTGCAAAGCTCAATAGCAACAACGGAGAAATCAACTGTTTCCGTCAGGCAATAAGGCTTAGTAATCAAAGATTCCGAAAACTAGTCATTGAAGTCATTTTGTACACGCGATAGTAGCTTTCAAACGAAATTATGGGTCGTCAGTCATAATGCATGAATGACCTGGGCAGGCAGGTCTCCAGGTACAGCTGACTGGACTGCGTGAGGTAAGCCTCACCTGAGCAGGCAGGTCTCCAGGTACAGCTGACTGGACTGCGTGAGGTAAGCCTCACCTGGGCAGGCAGGTCTCCAGGTACAGCTGACTGGACTGCGTAAGGTAAGCCTTTTCCCCAAAGAAGCTGAAATCAAAGAGCGTGGAGCCGCCCTCGCACTGCGTCTGGACGAGTGTCGGTGGCGTCATCTGAGTGTAGCCGCGGTCCTTGTAATGGGAGATGAACGCGTTGAACAGCAGCGAGCGCAGGGACAACACCTGAATGCAACAAAAACATTGCAATCAATTTGCATAGTTGGAATTAGAGGAACTTGGGTAATACACAGTTGGAAAATTATTCAACTCTACTAACAAATATTACATTATAAAATGCAAGTCTAATGCTTAGATTTCTATTTGATCATTATATATATGGATATGTATTTAGCTTGTTTAATTATGAGTGCTGACATTAGGGATCATCTACAAAATGGAAAAGGAAGAAGTTTCATCTGTGTGTAAATGATCTGTAGCTCAAAGCAGAGATTGAACAATTTCACAGAATACTCAAGATCAAATAGAAAAGCATTTTACTAAAATTTTTACCATACCCATTGAAATCATAACAAAAGGATCAGTAGAAAATTCATGTCGTTCACTGCACTCATCAATTGTTACTTGAAAGGAGTTGCTGCACATTATACTCTAGTCACAGTCTAGTACCTTTTAGGATGACAGACCATGCCAGCATTTAGGGTGACCAACCTTGCTGGCATTTAGAGTGACAGACCTTGCTGGCATTTAGGGTGACCAACCTTGCTGGCATTTAGAGTGACCGACCATGCCAGCATTTAGGGTGACCAACCTTGCTGGCATTTAGAGTGACCGACCTTGCTGGCATTTAGGGTGACCAACCTTGCTGGCATTTAGAGTGACCGACCATGCCAGCATTTAGGGTGACCAACCTTGCTGGCATTTAGAGTGACCGACCTTGCTGGCATTTAGGGTGACCAACCTTGCTGGCATTTAGAGTGACCGACCATGCCAGCATTTAGGGTGACCAACCTTGCTGGCATTTAGAGTGACCGACCTTGCTGGCATTTAGGGTGACCAACCTTGCTGGCATTTAGAGTGACCGACCATGCCAGCATTTAGGGTGACCAACCTTGCTGGCATTTAGAGTGACCGACCTTGCTGGCATTTAGGGTGACCAACCTTGCTGGCATTTAGAGTGACCGACCATGCCAGCATTTAGGGTGACCAACCTTGCCAGCATTTAGAGTGACCAACCTTGCTGGCATTTAGAGTGACAGACCTTGCTGGCATTTAGAGTGACCGACCTTGCTGGCATTTATTACAATAACAGACCATGCTGGCATTAAGGGTGACAGACCTTGCTGGCATTTAGAGTGACAGACCTTGCTGGCATTTAGAGTGACAGACCTTGCTGGAATTTAGAGTGACAGAGCTTACTGGCATTTGGAGTGACAGACCATGCTGGCATTTAGAGTGACCGACCTTGTTGGAAATTAGAGTGACCGACCTTGTTGGAAATTAGTGACCGACCTTGCTGGCATTTATTACAATAACAGACCATGCTGGCATTAAGGGCAACAGACCAAGCTGGCATTAAGAGCAACAGACCTTGCTGGCGTTCTCCCCCCTGATGAGCAGGTGGCGCTTGTCGAGCTGCACGTCAGGGTTTGCTTCCTTGTTGATCTCGGCCTCGGTGCCGCCGGCGGGCGCGGCACCGATCAGCTCCCAGAAGTCGACCTGCAGCTCGTGACCGCCCGGCGCCTGAATGCAGCAGTGGTTACAGTCCGTTTGAAAATTACCAGATTTATTGTAAGCTGTAGTGAATTATCACATTGCAATAACAAAGCACACTAAAAAAAGTGATCCTCTTTATCAAGAAATAGCTCATAAATTTTGAGTGTAGTGCCAGGTCAGAGTTGAATATCGGTACGTACTCAATAGATCTACTAGGGCATATTTGCTAATGAAATTTTACAACGACTTTGAACAGCTCAATGATGTGAAATCAAATGAATTTTAAAATGATAACATTGACTCACACCCAACAAATAACAATAAACAAAAGCCAGGCATATTTTTGATGAATAAATAAATATGCCAATCTTATGACATAACAATTTAATATTTTTCTTATTACATAAATTTCATTTGGTTAGAAACGCAACTGACAGACCTGCTTGCCTGCTGGCACCTCCAGCAGCGCCCCGTAGAGGCACACGGTTGACTCGGTGGTGAGCGTGACAGCCTCGGTGGTCTGGCACAGCTTGTCCAGCAGCACGCACTGCAGGAAGCCTGTGCCGTCACGCAGTACCACAAACATCATGTTCTTCCCTGCAACACACTTATCCATGAATGCATAGTCAAAATAAATTAAATATGATGATTTACAACAGGGGATCATAAGTATTGTAGTGCTTACCTAAGTATTTTATTACGTTCTATTTTCAATGAAAAATAGTATACTTTCAATCAAATTATTCAAAGAAATTTAGAATGATAATAACTACTAGTTCTCTGCCTCAATATCAATTCAAGTCCTGCAGCTACGAGCTCAAATCGTTACAGGATAAGCACTAGAGAAAATAGTATCTTAAATCATAATTTCTTCAGCACATAATAGATCTGACAAGATATAAACAGAAAGGCCCCTTACCCTGCCGTCTCAATCGGTGGATCCATCCCTTAACCTTAACCCTCAAGCCCCTCTGGCTTTCCCCATCCCTGATCTTGATGAGTTTGGCGGGAGGTAAAGAAATATCTTCACAAATAGTGACTTTAGCAGCTTCCTCCAATGCACCAGCTCGCTGCTTAGCATCTTCTTCTTCCTTGCGGCGTCTTGCTTCTTGTTTCTTCAGGTCCTGATGGTTGGGAAATTTTTACAACTTACAAAATTTCAAACTTACTAATTTCATACCAAGAGGTGAAGACAGTTCAATCAGTAAAATAAATATAGGCTACCGGTACATTTTAAATTTCAATGAAAAAAAGTGTACTTTTAATCACATTATTCACAGAAGTTTAGAATTATTATAACTATTAGTTCCCAGCCTCCAATTCCAATAATATATAAATGAAAAAATATTCAATAAAACCTTGCTTTACCACCAATCAAAGGATATAATTTGAACTTAAATACATAAAAAGGAATGTTTTTAAACTTACATCTTTCCATAGTTTGGTGATTTTTTTCAATTGGCTTTTTGCTATAGGTTCAAATTTCTGTAAAGAAAAAAGGAAATCACAATAGATTAAATGTTGAGTAAAATTTTGAGGATGTGGCAGATAACACAAGAGTCTGGTACCTGATCAAATGTAACAAATCCTTTTATTTTACATCAAGAGTTATATAGAGTTCAAAATTATGCATCACATTGTTATGGTCGCAATACTATACTATATGTACCTATAGTACCATCTTTAAATCATTAGCGGAGAGTTGATCAGTGATCATTTAATTACAGTGTTGAAAATTTTTTTTGGGGATACGATGCAAGAGACAGATAAAACAAGCAATAACTATTCAATCCAGCATTTAAGCATTCTTGGTAATTGATTTGGGTACCAGTAGATGTATATATAAATATAAACTCATAAGTGCAATATCCAGTGTAGCAAAGCAGAGATGAAACCCTCTGAAAAAGACAAGTATTTACAGGCCAGATGGCCCATGTAAACGTGAAGTGAGCAGCACATATATTAGCAGGAGTGTGATCCATGGCTCACATCTGAATTGCCCAATAATGATAGATCAGGAGCTAAAACACAAGCATGGTGTTAGGCTGATCTGCTCTATTAGAAACAAGGTTCTTATGCTGTGCATTGGGTATTTAATCTGCCAAAAATAAGTTTATCAAGCATGAACAATGAAAAACAAATAAAGTAAAAATATTAATCTGTAAATAATGAGATTATCAAACAAGAATAATGAAAAACAAACAAAGGAAAAAGGTAATTGTTTTGAAATAGGACAGCTGGAAAACTAATAATAAAGTACAGCATTCATTTACTGAAAAGGAATAATATGAAACAAAAATAATACATCCCAACTTTAAATAGGACACACATGAAATAATCGGCCATGCTGAGTAACACATTAATAAAATTTCACCTGACAAGCATCCCAAGATGACAGGCAGAGTCTGCTGAGAACTGCTGTATCGTCTAATTGAATAAATGTTACCAGAGGGTCTGCAATGAGACGGTCTATATGCTGGTACCAACGAAGTAAATGACAGTAAGGATTAAGAGAACTGCTCCTAGCAAGTGAAGGGATGTTACACGTTTTCTTAATAAGTGAATGGGCTTTAAGGTCAATTGTTGAAGCCACGGCCCCAGAGATATATGAATTATGGCACAAATGTGCATTGAGATGTACAAACAGTTCCGGACTGAGTGTTTCAGTAGTGTTGTTCATCATCTGGAGAATTAAGATGAGGTCAAACAAAGTACCAAGATTGAGCTCAAAAATCTATAGCCAAAAGCAGTTTCAGTCAAATAGTACAGACAAACAGTCTAATTCATATTTTTCTGTTGAATTCAAACTTAAAAAGTGAAGTTAAATACTTAAAAATTCTACTACATATCTAAATACATCTGTTTTCAGGACACATGATTATTTTCTAAACTGGTTTCCTGATGCTTAATTTTACAACCAAAAAAAACACAGTCCCTCAATTATTTTGTTCTGACAAGTTATGACCAAACAGGAAAAAAATTTTGCAAATCAACATGGATGGATGAATTGTAATTGAAAAAGACATTGGGATGGCATTTACATGGATTTGAAATAACACTGAGCAAATTGAAAAACATACTTGATCTTTTTCTTTGGCATCAACCATGATGGAGGGCAGAGGCTCAGTTTTATAGTCCTTACAAGCCCTCAGAGCTGTCTTGTAGGGTTTTGTTTCTGATCCATCCCCATGCTCATCGTCTCCATGTAGTTCTGACACGTAAACAGTATCTGAGGGGAACCTCAATGTTAGGCAATAGTTGGGAGATCTTATGTTGGGGGTTAGAGAAAACCATTTTAATAGTCATCTAAACTATGTACCGGTACTTAATTTGTTTATTGAACATAATACAAGTAAATCAAAGAATAATCTGTGAATTAATTTCAGAGAAAATTAAAACAATAACAGAAAGTTTAAAGAAAATGATTATCAGACATCTTCTAAATTAAAATAAGAGGTATATTCAAATATGTGGATCAAAAATAACTTTTCAGCATGCCATCAACTAGCACATACGGTACAAGATTTCAAAAGACATATCAATTCAATTATATTCAATAGTCACTCACCTAGGGAAATATTCTGGGTCATTTCCGTAATTTCCTTGCTCATCTTGGGAGGCTAAGCAGAACAAATTAATTCAGAAGTTAATTTGTTGCAAAGTAACTATAATATAAATTATTATTCAATAGTCAAATAAAAACTAACACTGCAGCAAAATTCTGCAACATCAAAAATCTCTTGATGAGAATAAATAAGACTGCTGAGTGTAACTAAGTTTCAACTAATGACCAGCAAATGAAGATATTATAAATATACCTAATTCAACATATAAACTTGGTTTGCTCAACTTACAGATGCTGTCAAAATAATAAGCCTTCCAATTATCCTTGCTACCAGTACTTGTACATGTGTAGTAACATATCTAAGAAGCATACAAATTCATTATAAGGCTTGCCTATGGCACAATGTATGTTGTAATGGCATCTATTGACCATTTAAATTGGTTTGTAGAATGTAGACTATGTCAGAAAATTAGCCTTCAGACATTTGCTGCACATTTAGAGGTGACTCTTGCTGACTAAAAATTAGTGTATGGTGCTACAGTACACCAAATTACCCATGCTATCAGTTCAGCCACCCATGCTATCAGTTCAGTGAGTGGTTTCCCTCGCATCAGTAGTATCCTTTCTGTGACACCATTGTAGTAAGTGCCTGTAGAAGCTCTTCAAACTTACCACCAGTCAGTCATAGACTGACACTTCTTAGCTGCAGTCCATCACAGCTTAACCTTTGATGCATACACTATTCTGTCTCATGCCTATTGGCTCTGACACTTGCTTGTCCTACTCGCAGTTGTGTCTTAACTCCACCATCTCCACTACGGTACTGTAATAATACCTCATTGTGCCTCATCTTGTAATCCTATATTTAATAATTAATTTCATTATGTTGCCACTCTCTCAATATCCTGCTATACTTATAGTATACGGACAATAATAAGAACCTTTCGGAACTCTGAGATAATTTTTATAGTTCATCTAATAATAAATTAATCAATGTCATACTGTCATAGAAGAGTCAGTTGACACTGGCTCCTAAATGCATCAGTTGACATTGTCTGTACAAAGTTTGACATTCTATACTGAAGGCACTACTATGCAACACACATAGTGGCAAAGCAGAGAGTTTGTTAGACTCTCCCTTGAGTTAAATTTAGAGTACTATAAGTACTAAGTACAAGTAGACCAGTAAAGTATCAGGGATACCAGCATTATCATACATAAGAAATTGGTTTAAATAACGAGTAAATGAGGAAATTAAAAATGAACTGATTCTAAAAAATCTCTGGTTTGCCACTAGCCCACTATGGCAACAGATAACATGCTGCTCAATGGGGACAGTGCATAATTTGAAATTTACAGCCAAGGCAAGTATCAAGATAGACTCCTGAAGTCCTCCTCTTTCTTTGTAAATGTAGAATAAATGACATTTTCTGTGATTTTTACTAGTTTTTCCTTCATTGATATATTACCATATCTATTCATTACCGTATTATTGATGTGATATTACCGTACCTATTCATGAACATGCCATTGAGCATTTACTACAACAACCAACGTCCAACAACCACTGCAAGTTTCATGTCAGCAGCCATATAGAGTAGGTATAGCATTTCTTCTGTATCAGTAAGCTTACAGGTTACAGGATGGCTTGCAATTTTATACCATTTTAATTGGGTTAAATGGATTTTCTATAACAAAAGAAGATTGTAAAAAAACATATACTTGAAACAGAAAGGAATTTCTAATAACAACTAGGTATCATATTTTTGGAGAAATAAATCATAGTTTAGGACTTAAGGGGACCGTCTAACCCAAAAATCGAAAAATTTCACTTTTTTCGTTTTTTGGTCCATTTTAAAGCTGCTTTTCAGGCGCATAAATCGGTGTAATTGGCATCTCTGTGCGTGCGTTAGTTTGTTTTTTATTCATTTTAGAATGGTTGGTACTATTGGCCGCGGACCTCTGACGTCGGCTCTGACGTCGCTCTATAGCCGACTAATCAAGCTGGCAATTTTCAACGGCTTGCTTCAGCGGCCAATGAGAGATATCAGGGCGGAGCTCTCATTTTTACGCATCCAATGGTGTAAGCAGCATGCCTGTGTGTGTGTTAGTTTGTACGTAATATTGTGTTTACTACGACGCGATCATTGGTTGCCGTGCTAGAGCGCTGGCTATCTAGCCTCGTACAAGGCATTGCAATCGTTCTGTGAGCTTCAGTGTGTTTTGAACTGTGCTACGTGTAGGTGTTGCGAGTGTTTTCTCTCTCCCCCTAAATTTTTGTGAATATTCACAGAATTCTTTGAGGTAAGATGCCGAAGCGAAAGAAGCTGAATTATGGTAAAGGTGGGTATGTTCAACCGTGTGATCGGCGACCAAAGCCACCCGTTGAGCCACCTGCTTGGGTGAATCCTCTCGTACGTCGGCAAGAACTGCTTGCGGCTGCTATACCAGAGAAGGATTTAGCCGATTTACCTAGTCAGGCTCCGGATTCTGGCAGTAACTGCCTAATTCCTGTAACGTTGATAAACCAGCTTTTCCGCTGTAATCCAGAGTGTTCCGAATGTGGCGCCGTTTGCGATGCTTCCGTGCAGATTCTTCATATGGAAGCAAAGATTGTCACCAAATGCAGTAAGTGTAAAGTTGAAGCAAAGTTTTATGAGGCTGAATGTGTGACCGGACTTGACGGTAGAGCGAGTAATTTCACTCTGAAGAATTTGAGCCTTGTATATTATTCATTGATGAACAGTGACGGCTTCGCCGGTTGCAAGCGAATTTGTGCTTCACTGTCAACCCATGGCTTCGCCACCCAAGCCTTCTATGGGCACTGTAACTTTCTGTATAAGAATATGAACCTTTTCTTTACAACGAAGCAAAATGAGATGATAGCAGCCCTGAAGCATGCTTCCTCTGAGAGTGGGACTTACAAGGAAGGCGACGAATTTCTCGACCTCGATGTGAGTTTTGATGGGACGTGGATGACNTTTTACGTTTGAATGTGAAGTTTCATGATGATCGGATAATAACTTTAGGAGTTATAGGCTATCTCCAATTTAGGTTAGACGGTCCCCTTAAGGTTAATTCCTTTCATTCTAGGCTATGATGACTGGGCTGGTGGTGATGCACAATTCTATCTAGGATGACATTCTATGAATAATTTGATAATGACTGACCAATAATGCTTCAATTTTTCCTCACTAAGTGAATTTTTTGTTTGCTGAGCAAGGTAGGTAGGTAACTAAGGTAAATGTAATCAAAATTTTTTGTTATTAACTGATTTTTTTGATAACTGTAGCCTTTGCTAATTGAGGTTCCCCCAGGGTTGGCAATGATTAAATCAAAATGATTAAATCATGTGATTAAATCACTTGATTTTTTTATAAAAAAATTGCAATTTTTCTATTTATTTGATTTTTTATATATTACCATAAAATGGGGTAACTTAGACCACTTTTTTTTATAAATGATGCCATTTTTTTACTAGCTAAATTAAACTTGAATTGAAACATGCAAAATACGAAAAGTGGTCTAAGTTACCCCGCCGGTCTAAGTTACCCCATTTTACGGTACCACATTTTTCTTAGCTCGCTTTCGTGTCCCTCTGTCTGTCTGTCTGTGATGATCAAATCTTGCAATCGATATTTCACCAACTTTCCCGCTAGCTAGTGCTCAGAAACTTTTAGGGAAGCTCGGCTACCGATAACAATACAATAATCAATAATTTGTTGCAGGTTTCCAGGCGAATTTATTACCGAACCTTTCTTTATTACAGCCAAGCACGGTGACGCACCCAGATAAATACGGGAACAACAATGTATCCCCTCAAATACAATTTTCAACAGAACTTTGAAAAGAATTTTCTTTTGTGCATTTGCGTGGCCAACTGAAATGAAATGAATATTATGTAGGATGGCTGACCTTTGTGCACTAGTAATAAACTCTAAAGGAACTCACAAGCAGGGGTTGGGAACCTTTAATGCACATCATCCTCGAGAGGATATTCGTGTTTAGACTGCCGCACTGCGTATATCGATGATACGCTTCGTATCATCAATACGTACGTCGAGTCAAGTAAATTGGCTCACAACAACATTTTTCATGTGTAGCAACGGACTAAAAAGGAGAAAATAAAATACTTAAAAAACTAAAAAGTAGAAAATAAAATGTATAAAAAAAATTTTCAAAGACCACATTTTTCATGTGGACTCAAAAGTAGAAAATAATTTTTCGGCAGCTACTGATCTCTGTTTGCTTTCATTCTCTTGGTCTTTTGTATTTCAGTTAAAATATTTTACAACATCTAAAACGAAAAACGTGGGGCGCATATGTAATTAATTGATTGGTGATTACTTGATATGATGAATATGATGGTTCATTGAACATTTGATAAGTGTATTGCTGATATAATTTGAAATAGTGGTTGAATTCAAAATTGAAATTAAGGCATGCCTAAATAAAGATGCACCCCACGTTTTTCGTTTTAGATGTTCTAAAATATTTTAACTGAAATACAAAAGACCAAGAGAATGAAAGCAAACAGAGATCAGTAGCTGCCGAAAAATTATTTTCTACTTCTAAGTCCACATGAAAAATGTGGTCTTTAAAAATTTTTTGTATACATTTTATTTAAATATATTGAGTGACAATCTTTAATTTATTTTGAGGCATTGTTATTCATAGTTTAGTATAAATGTACTATGAATGACAAATTGGTATATAAACTTGTTGCCTTTAGCATGTATTAGGTTCCAATAAATTGAATGTTTTTGGTACAGAGGCATCAAGTGTTGCAATACATTGTACATAGCTAGCAGCTTATCTAATTCTTATAAGGCTATAAGTAGTCTTTAACTATTTGACTATTTGTTATACCATCAACCGGGGCTACTCGGAACGATTTCAAACATTTTTCATTCATAACTTCTTACCATGAAACATTTCATAAACAAGTTTAGGCTCATTTCAAAGCTCTTTGCAAGGGCTATCATGTGGTTTCTCCAAAAAAGTTCCATATGCTATTTGTAAGGTGCTAGAAGCAAAAAAAAAAGAGTATCCCGAGTAGCCCCGTTGAACTGGGCTACTTGGGACACATGGAATAAAACTTCATTTTAAAACATTTGAAACATGCAGAGTGTGCTCATTCATTACTAACAGTACTCTGAAGTCCTCCTCTTTCATTGTAGATGATGTAGAGATAGAA